AATTTCGGCTAAAAAACCCTCTTTCTCTCTCTTTTTTTTATCATTCATAAATATTTGCAGAATATGTCTTCAACATTTTAGCAGAGACAGTGATAGTTTCAGGAATACAGCTTATGAGAGAACATAACTGTTGATCTTTTGATTTTGCGAAGTCATCAATATTTTACCATTTCTTGGGGACTTCAAAGGTGGGGGGAGGGGGGGGGGGGTAAAGGCTTCTTGACTACCTCTGACAAAACAACCTCGACTGTGTTCTACATGTGTCCAAGAGACCTCTCTTTGAATGTCACGGTCGGTTAAACTCGGTTATATATTTTTAATTGTAGGGAAGATTTATTCATCAAATAAAAATCATATGAGTAAACAAAAAGCAACCTGTTTTTTTCTAACACAATATGAGACTACAAGTAACTAGAATTAATGTTTATTTTTTTAAACATTTTTTCATTATAAATGAGTATTAGGAAAAATTATTGCCATGAGTAATAAGTATCATTGAGAAAATACCTAAAAGAAAACTGTGACATATTGTTTAGAACCAATCAGATAGTGCGTTGTATTAGCATATTATAATGAGGTATAAGATAGCGATATAAAAAAAATATAGAAGGTAAAGAGGTAAAATTTACCCTGACTATCAAATAGTAAAGATAAAATAAAAGAAAGGAAGTGGTTCCAATTTTTATGAAATCTTAATGTCCGATGAGGAATTATATTCCCAAAAAGTAAGACAAGAGTTTCCAAGGCAATTGAACACTCCATTATTTGAGTTTGTTCATTAACTGGTTCATAAACGTAAAAACTATAAGAAATGTGAAAACTTGATTATGTAATTCACATTTCAATATGACTGTACCTCATTCTATATTGAGAAATTCAATGTATTATAAGCTCATGAAAAGATGTACACATTTGACTTTTATTTATACCACCCCCCCCCCAAAAAAAAAACAAAAAAAAAAAAAAAAAAACACAAGAAAATCCTATTCATGTGACTTCTCGCTCTCAATGTTCACACAAATGCATAAAATAAAGGTAAAATAGCATATCTTGCATCATTTATTAAAACGCAACCAAAAAATTTACGGTGTCTTTGAATAAAAATTTTCATGCTAAATTGACATAAAAAAGATACTCACCTTCAGTTAGCTATTTTTAACTTGTTTCCCCGTGGGTATCTATTTGATTTTCATTTATTTTCTTCATTATAACAACGTTGGTATTCTATTATGGCAGAGATATACAATTATGACTCGCTTATACTGTACTCTCTAACTGTTAGGAATAATTTATATTTCACGTGAAAGGGACGCCATACATTTTTCAGTAAAAATACATAACACGGCGTTAGTCCTTTAATTTCTTTAAAGTTTCACATGTTTGTGAATGGTGCACAAATTAGAAAATTAAGTATATGAAATACTTTAATGGGAAATAAAGACAAAGTGAAACGAAGTGTAGTTATTTGTTTTTAGAAATTATATTGAAAAATAATAACGCCATTGTGCCCTCTTTGTTACCCCAGCAGTGTTTGTCGTGTGATTTTAAACTTATTTGACAACCGTATGAATTAGGTTCAATAAAAATAAATCCACAAATTAAGAAACTGATGTACAAGTAACAGTTACTGGCATAATGCGCCGTTGCTTCATTCTTTTGTTTTTATAGAAAGTTGAACGGAATACATTTCGCGGATTCAACGATACCCTAATATCGGGTATTACACGCGAATTCACGGATAATACCCGATTTCGAGTATTCTCTCCGACGTGTTAAATTCTTTTTCTAATACTTGACATTCATTTTTTAAGTATTGCTCCCGTTGTATAATTTCTTTTGTTAAGTTTTTAAAAACAATATCATCACAGATAACTCAATTTATGCTGCAATGAGAAATCAACTAAATTTTACATCGTCGGATAATAACGGATTTTTAAAACCCATGTTACAACGCACTTTGAAAAATTACGCACTTTGAAAAAATTTTTCAAAGTGCGTTAATTTTTGGGACCAGGTTAACGCACTTTGAAAAAAATTTTCAAAGTGCGGTGAATTTTGGACCAAATCAACGCACTTTGAAAAAATTTTTCAAAGTGCGTTAAGACTGTACATCATAATTTTACACCATGTCAACATTTAACGCACTTTGAAAAAATGTTCATGAAACAAAAGGAATTAGACTTATATTTTAGTAATAGACAGCAGTATTACCCCCTCGCAACATATGATGGGATATAGTGATGCGATTATGTGTGTTATTACTTTATGTGTGGAATTGATGTAATTTGTATCGCGATCGATGTCAAATGCTGTCTTGATTTACTGAACATGCTTTTTGGGAAGGAATGCTCCGCTTTGCGGTGCCCTTACTTTGATGTGTTTCTTTCTAAAAACTGATGGATTGAAGAAAACCTAGAAACGGACAACGAAGAAAAGACTGGCTGAATTAAGGTCTATCATGCAGCTCAACTCTTTATCATTCCCACCCAGATATATCTATTTCTATAACTCGTAAACTTAAGTGTCAATGATATTTGAAAAAAAGAGCATCCTAAATACAATATAAGCACTGTACAAGGAAGTCTGTAGTAAATCGAAATTTTGTTCTTTTAAATCTCAAAGTCTATTTATGTTCATTTTCAGGAAAATCAGAATATTAATTACATTAATTACATTTAATTATATTAAGTACCTGTCTGCTTTTCGGTGTTAATTTGATACCATATCTGATAATCTCTCTGTTAACCTCCAGGTATTTAATTTACATGATATTTTCATAGGAATTGTTCATTTAACATGTATCTAATATCTTTTCTCATGTTTTTACGAAAATAAATAAAACATATAAATTAAATTAATAAAATACAATTATTTCGTTTTAAATAGCTTTAATTTTTTTTTTCGTTTTTTGTCTATAAATATATCCCCCCCCAAAACCGTGAAACACAAAAAGCTTTGGCATAAATTTGTAAAATAACAGTCCATATTATCTGTAAAAAGGAATTTTTGTTTCACAGGGGGGGGGGGGGGGGTTTATAAAATATTTTCAGTTTTCCGATGATTTCTATAGTGGAAAACACAAGTTTTGCCAAATTTATAGCGTTATCTCTCTTTGGTATCCCAAATAAGTAAGGTTTTATGAAAATTCATATAAATATGAATAAAAATTTTGAGAAATATTCCAAAATGTTAACTTTTGAGAATTGACTTATAGATAGCCGGAAGAATAATACTATCGTTCGTAGTTCTTTATGACCTTTAATGTTGGCCTTTTGACCCCAAATTCAAAAGGGGTCTTCCTAAGGCCACAGGGATTCTGTTATGTTAAATTTCATTGCAAAAGCTCAAAGGGTTGTCGAGATATCGTGTGGAAACGAAAGCGTTACAGAAAGACGGATGGACGGACAGCTAGACGGACGAACGGAACAGGGACACCGATCCATACCCCTGACTTTTCAAGCGGGGGACAAAAGTATCAAATCAGGTTCAAATGATAAGTTATCATACTTAAGATATGTAGGAATATTGACTAAGCCATGCAGAATTTTTTTTCAAAGTGCGTTAATATGGTTGATATTAACGCACTTTGAAAATTTTTCTTTTTTTTCAAAGTGCGTTAACCTGGTCCCACAAATTACGCACTTTCTCTGAAAAAATTTTTCAAAGTGCGTAATTTTTTCAAAGTGCGTTGCCACAAACCCAGTTAAAATCTTTGATTTTGTTGCGCTATTTTTCTTAGCCTGGTAGTGCGGTGGAAAAAATCACGATGTAGAAAGTTATGAAATAAATGTTTTTTAAAAGGGGACCTGCGTACATGTGGCCTAAGATTATTTATTTAACTTCATGCCATTGAATTAAATGTCATAATCGACAAAACTGCATATCTGTGCTTGGTTATTTTTACTGCACTGTCAGGCTGATATTACTCACAGGAGGCATAAAACAATATTATCACAGATAATTTAATTTCTGCCGCTATGAGAAATCTGTTAAATTTTACATCGTCAGATATTTTACCGTATCAAAATCTTTTTGATTTTGTTGCGCCCTTTTTTGTTAGCCTGGTAGTGTGGTAGAAAAAAAAACACCACCCGCCCTTTAGCTCACCTGCTTAGAGACCAGAAGAGCTTATGCGATAGTAATGCGTCCGGAGTCCGTCCGTCCGTCTGTCTGTCTGTGCAAACAATTTTTCAAAATGCTACTCCTCCTACAGTTTTTGTCTGAATTTAATATAACTTGGCACACAAGTAGACAATACTAAGATACATAATTCTCTGTATTGGTTCTTGATTTCGATAAACGGTGTTGCCGTGGTTACTAAAAATAGAAATTTCTGTGAAATACTTTCAAAAATGCTACTCCTCCTACAGTTTTTGTTCTGATTTCAATATAACTTGGCACGCAAGTAGAGTACACTAAGATACATAATTCTGTATATCGGTTTTTGATTTCGTTGAATGGTGTTGCCATGGTTACTAAAAATAGAAATTTCTATAAAATACATTCAATATGCTACTCCTCCTACATTTTTGGTCTGATTTCAATATAACTTGGACACAAGTAGACTACACTACATAAATAAACAATTAAAGTATATGACTTTATTTTAATTTTGGAAGAGCAAAGAAATTTATATCCTTTGATTCAATGACTTTTCTTTATTGCTACGTTCAAAATTGACCGTAATTTTAATACTGTATTTTATATCATCATGATTATAATTAGTTTACATCTTTCAATTGTTGAATTGTTGGATATTATAACAACTGAATATGGATTATACAATTTTTCTGTCAAATACTCACAAAGTCAATTTCCTTGCCAACAAAATTGAAGTAAATCATCCTAGCTCCTCTAAAATTAAATAATTTTAAATGCATCATAATATTAATCTTTATTGATATAAAGATCTCCAGTAGATGCAAAGCTTTGGAAGATTCAGATGAAGTCTTGTGATGGGTAAGACCAGTCCATAAAAAAACCCTGTTAAAACTATTTACGATGAATCGGAGGAAAGTCTCGTGTTGGGTAGGTCCGGCGGAGAAAGCTATTACCTCTTGTGTTCCATGACCTATTTCAAGGATTAAAAACAAAGTTGTTTCAGATCACAAAGTAATAAGGAAGAATGATAGTGCGATAAATTTTCCATATGTAAAGTAATTAAACATGTTTAAAGCACTGTTACAATGAAAATGAAAACATTTCTAAACCTCAATATAAACATTTTCTTCATAAAGAAAAAAAGAAATAAATAGATTGAATAGACAATGACTTTTCCAAATAAGGGAATACCACTTAGCAATGGGAAATTACCACTGATTTTTTTAACAGTTGGTGACAGAAGCGCTCCACAGAATGTGGTGTACAATTCATTAGAGGCTCCATACAGCCTGGCAGTTCTGCCAGGCCTGGAATTGGTTTTTACTATGTCTCCTTTTTTAAGATGGAGAACAGCAGTGTTGCCTGCGTCAGCGTAAGATCCCTCAGTATATCCATAAGATGAGATAACATAATTTTCATTGTGGAACAGCTCAAGCCAGAAATCCTTTTGAAAAAAATTGTGTTTTCGGAATTTAAAATCTTTTTCATCGTCTTTTTGTCAATATATTAGAAAAAAATAACAATCCTCAAATGAAGATCAGACATTAAGAATAATTTTGAGGTAGTCATTTTCAGTGCTGTACGATTTAAAAAATACCTCTTATCTGCTTACAGTATTTTCATAAGCCAGTGCATGGAAGTGAAACAAGTATGTTCCCTCAACGGGGGCAGTAATTGTTCCAGTTGTGGTGTTGCAGGCACTCCTGATATTTGTGATGGATTTGTCGTAAATTAAAGCTAATCCATCACTTACAGAAGCGTGTTTGGTCAGGATTGCTGAGAGTAATCCTACAGGACCATAGAAGTTCTCCACATCTAGTTCTAGAGAATTGTGGATAACACATATGTCTCCGTGTTTGCTCTGCTCTTATTTTGTATATTGTTTAATTGACGTTGAGATTGAATACTGTTCGTTATTTCCATATCCTTCATGTAGAATCTATGTTTTAATTGTAAACCTGCACTTAAAACATATAGTTGACAAAGTGGTTGATATCAATGCAGACTAATGTGCGCAAAATGAAAATATCAATATTAAGTATGCAAAAAAATAAGGATAATAAAATCATTGTATTTAAAATTTATAGTTGATTGCTAAACAATTCTCATCAACACACATTAATATGTGAACATGGAAATATTGACCATGTTAATGAATTTATGACACCCAAACAAACTTTCAAAGTTTTTTCACAATGGACATCGTATAAGTCTTATATTCAAAATATTCTTTAATTGATCAACATCTTGGAACTAACCGAGTATTGTCAGCAAATAAAAGTTCCCCAGTTATTGTGGTGTAAATCTGATCCGCCCGTCCAAACAGTGCATGGTTATAATTATTGTGGGCTTTCACATACACCTTGTCGCCGGTATTTAAATGTACTATTGCTGCATTTCCAGAGTCTGCATAATCATTTTTGGTATGACCAAAGACTGGAAAAATGTAATTTTTATAAGTTAATCAAATTCAATTCTTTGTTTCAAAAAAAAATTACGAGCTAACCTTCATCGAAGGTTCAAGCCGAAGGTTCAAGTGAACTTTTCTGATCAAAATTTGTCCGTTGTCTGTCGTTTTAATACTTAATACTTAACTTTTTATATTTTCTCCTTCTTTTCAAGAATAACTGGACCATTTTCAACCAAACCTGGTATAGACTCTCCTTAGGTAAAGGACATTAAAATATTTCAATGCAAGGACACGCCCTTCATCCAATGTAGATAACTATATATGGTAAGACAAAGTGAATCTTTTGTGGGGGTATTTAAACCACTTGCGCAAGAACTACTGAAATTTTTGTCAAGAAAAAGTAGAGAAATGATTGGACATACATGTAGTTATAAAGAAGCAGATTTAGGTAGAACTAGTACTTAGATTGTTCAAATCCTGAACCCAGGGTTAAAAATGGTTCATAGTTGCATGGCAAAAAGTAAAAAAAAATGATGAAAAAAAAAACTTAGAATAAATCTTAAAAATCTTCATCAAACGAAATGCAAAAGCCGCTCATGCAAGGCATATTCAAACATGTTCAAATATTGTTAGCAAGGGAATCGAACGGAGCCACAATAGGAGATAAACATATAGCAAAATTCTAAGGCTAAAGATTAGACATATGAAGTGAAATATGCGGAGATAACTACCATATTTTGAGCTCAAAATCCCATTACAAACATTAGAAAATAGGAGCAGGGCAAACACGGACCTCCAAAACATCAGAGGTGGATCAGGCGCCATGGAGAAGTGAGCATTTCCTGCCTACGGCTCACACCCCCTGTGTGCTCCTTGCCATGAGTAGGGAATAATGACAGAAATCTGTTGTCAACTATTTCAGTGTATGAATAATGCCTAATAATCAGTGTGAGAAAAGTCAGACAGCATTTGACTTTGATTTTTAAAAACATACTGAATTTGGTGTGGATTAAGGTGTGAACAATCCAACCCACCATTTCTGGACGGGGATGGTTTTGTATTTGGTCACTTCTATATCTATTTTTTTTAATACTAAACTGTTTTCTGTTTTTATTTTAGCCAAGTTGATCAGGTGAGCGATATGGCCCATAAACCTTTTGTTCTATACAGAGTTTTGACTTACTTGAAGCTATTAATTCGTCAGTTTTCATCATTTCCAGCCAAAGTCTAGAGTCCTCTGCAGTGAGTCCATAAAATGTAAACGCATATAGACCGGGAGTCTGGCAGACAAAGGATCCTTCCGAATCAAAGCTGGCTCCGATCTCAGTTATCCTTTTATTATAGAGAATGTTTTCACCGTTTGACACATGTACGTCTATTGTCTGTCCTTTTGTAAAGGCTGTTGGAGCCTGGATGCTTCCGACAGAACTTTGCGTTTGGGCAACTGAAAGTGAACGAAGATGTAATGAACGAAAAAGCGTGTAAACAATTCAATTAAATATGCCTCTATTTAAAAAGTTATTTTTAGATATTTGAGATCCACTAAGTGATTAATTTTTTAAACCTATCGCTACAAGAAGTAATATGTCAATCCACGTTGCAGACATCTTCTACCTACAAAGAAGAGTAGAACTAAATTAATGTTGAAAATAAAAATTGTATGAACGCTGAAGAACTCTAGTAATGCCTCAAAGATTTGTATTAAAGTCTTTTAAAACTTTGAACATGTTCATTTAGAGTTTTAAGGTACGTGGCTCATTACATCCACAGTTTATTTTAGATTTCAATACAGCACCACTTACAATGTAGAAGTTTTTAGTTTTTGTTTTATTTTAGTGAAATGTTTTATTTCAGGTTTATTATTCACAGAATTTTCAGAACTTTTAGTGTCAAATGATGGGCATCTTCTTAAGACAAGTACACACAGTGAAAATACCTCATAATACCTAATAATAATTTTATTAGAAAAAATAATTTTTTCCTAGAAAACAATTAATGTCATTATCTTTTTAATCTATGCATAAAACATTTTAAAAATGTGTTCTGAAGAAACAAGGAATGTATTTCAATGAATTAAATGTGTCAAATTGAATGAAGAAAGTTTAAACGAAATGAAAAATCCAATTTAAGAAATATTTGGTATAAAAAGTCCACGTTCAAGAGTTATCTTTCCTAATTAGCCAAGCCTCAACACACTATGGAACGTTTGACATTACATCTAAAATTCAGAATAAAGCTTTAAATTGCCAGAGTATACATTTAAATCAATAAAACAAATATATAAATTAACACCAACACAGTAAATAGCGCAATTAAATAAAATTTTAATTTCAACAAGGTTGTAGATTTTAACTCGAATTTCCTCCATACATACATGTCAGTGTTTGATAGAGTTCACTGCATGCATGGCTATAAAAAATTGACATTACTTGTTTGGCGAAGATTTGATTGTTGCTTTCTTTTGTTTCTGCCTAAATGCAATTCTTCTTGGTTAATGCATAATGAATCCGTTACTTTGTTTTCACTGTTTACAACACCGCATGTTTCATCTATTTTTAAAGCGTTTTAAAGGTCAGGGTCATATTATAGAGGTACCTATACAACTCGTCCCCTGTGGAAACCGGTCGACACGATGGAGGTTTATTTTTTTGTGTAGTATGTCATCAAAAAGTGGTGTAATGAGCCTCCTTAAAACTGGTATCTAGAAAATTGAGTGTGTAAGAGACATTTTATTTACGGATACAATTGAATCTTTTGTCTTGACTCAATTACTATGTAAAACTGTAGCATTCGGATTTCAAGAAGAAACAAAAAATAAATAAATAAATAAGAATAATAAAAAGAGATTGAGCATGTCTTTGACGATCTGTTCTCTTCCAATGTTCTTGATTTAGTCAACATTGATGACATGTTATGAAAACAAATTTTAATAAATGAATTATAAAAAAAAAACAACGAAAAGAAAACAAGCTTTACTCTTCTGAAAAAATACAATTGAGAAGCATAGCAGGCATGAAGTTTTAAATATCAGAGGGGCAATTAGGTGTCATGGCGGCGCAAGTATCCCCTGTTGACCGCTCTCATCTGCCGTGTGCACATCGTCATGAAAAGTCATGATCGGGAAAAGGGAAAGAAATCTGGGGAGAGTTTCATATGAAAATATTGATTGAACTGTTTGTATGAAAACGTTATAGTGATCATACTTGATTTGAAAATACAAGTAGTTTATATTTTAAGGTCATTGTACTTGCATCAAACAGAAAATTTGCGAAATGTTATTAAAGTACTGAATAACCAAAAAAGCACAGTACCGCAAGCAAAAAAGCGATATGCCGTTAAAATAGGATTTCACAATCAATAATTTTTTTATGGATTAAAATTGTTTACAATTAAATGATAGAATATAATATTTTTATGTACTAATACTCACTGTTCATCTTGTCTTCACAGAACTGACTCTTGATATTTGATAAGATCTAAGGTTATTTATGTCACTTAAACAGGTTTTTTATATGCTAATAGTCCTCCATATTGTGTATGATTGATATAATGTTTCCTTATCTGAAGTAATACTCTTAAATTCAGGCTATACAAAAGAAAACAGTGTAAATATCAAATGTTAAAGCTATATATGCCGTATTAGTGTTTTATTTTAAAAGTAATAAATATATGTGGTGTCTCATCAAGTTATATAAGTTATATCCTTTCTACAAATAAGACAATTCCACTCCATCACTTTTAAAAGTTATGAAATATTATTTGGTAAAAATTATTTTCTCTGTGTCGGATAAAAAACCGCCTCTTATTGAAATATTCATGATCACGTTCTCTCGTATGTTTACACCAAACAATGGTCCAATCCCGTGAATGAACCGAAAAGCATGATGGTCTACTACGTTTTTACTACAAACACGTGAGTTAGGGATTGTCAAGAGCACCTCAGAGTTGGTTGCTTTTTGTACCGAGGAATAATCACGTGCAATTGTCTTTTCAATGGACATTTTCGGCTGGGTGAACTTCTACAGATGTCAGCGACTATGGATAAAGAAGTGTGGAAACCATGTTGTTCCAAAATGAAATAACTAATACAAACAAATGATATAATTTGATCAATCAAAGTAATTAGATACATTCGATTCTGCATTTCTTAATGGTTCAAAACAACAAAAAGTATTCCACAGAATATCATGTATAAATCTGCACAATATACCTAATGCCAAAACCAGAATACTACTAAATAATATAATCATATTCTTTACATATGAACCACAGTATTTCTGACCCCGTGAAAACAATATAAAAAATCTTGCAAGTAGGTTATCAGCATTGGCTCGGGCTAATTCGAGAGTGAAATTTGGAGTTTGGCAGTATTGTAGTGAATGAATAAAATTTAGTAGTGGAAGATATTGGAACCTATTTTACTTGTCAGATTTCTTCGAGCTAGTTGATTTTTATTATGTTCCCAAACGAAGTTGGGGAACATATTGTTTTTACTCTGTTTCTTCTTATTATTATTATTATTATTTTTCTTCCTGGGAAAATTTTGTACTTGAGTGATCTTGTAAACTACACATCTGACTAAGGTAAAATGTTTTCAGGTCAAGTACAGATGTCGATGCACTTTGCTGAAGAAGGTCATTTTGCGTGCACGCGCTCTGCAAGAGCGCGCACGTGCAACACTTGAAATGACCGATTTAATTGATATAGGCATAACTTTTCACATTTTTGATGCAGAACGCTTTGAAACTCCAGACAGAAGGATATATTCGTGGCATAGACAGATGACATGGCCAAAATAGCAAGATCTCACGCGCATGCACGTGCGCTTCGCTCTGATTGGCTGAAACTAAAGTCTATATCTTTCTTGTTTTTTGACGAAATCCTTTGAAATTTTGAACATAGCCATGAATTAAGATTTTCTACAAAAGGATATATAGTAATTATCATGAAAACACGTGCATGCACGTGCGCTGCAATCTGATTGGCTGAAACTTTAAATAGCTATAACTCCCTTGATTTTCAACCAAACAGGATGGGATTTGGAACATAGATAGATATAATGAACTTCTACTAGAAGGTATGGTCACCATGCACATGCATACACGTGCGTGTACGTGCGCTGCAATCTGATTGGCTGAAACTTTAAACAGCTATAACTCTCTTGGTTTTCAACCAAACAGGATGGGATTTGGAACATAGCTATATATAATGGACTTCTACAAGAAGGTATGGTCTACGCACATGCGTACATGTGCGTGTACGTGCGCTGCAATCTGATTGGCTGAAATTTTAAACAGGTATAACTCCCTTGGTTTTCAACCAAACGGGTTGGGATTTGGAACATAGACAGATGTAATGGACTTCTACAAGAAGGAATCGTCACCATGATCATGTATGCACGTGTGTGCACGTGAAATGGGTAAAATCATAAATACACTTGAATGAGCGTTTTTTTTTTTTTATACTTTTGGATTAAATATTTTAAATTTAAATATAAAATATAGATTGTGTAGACAATATGCTATGTCATTACGCAAATGCATTCACATGCGCAAGTGTGCAATATAAAATTTGAATGAACATGGTACGCTTCTGCTGGTAAACATTTACAAATGCATAGAGTTTGTCTTATTTAATTACGCTTACAGGGAATATGACCATAAAAGGGAGTTGGGAAGCGTTTGGGGAACATCTGTAACGGTCCCCGTTACAATTAGCACTAGTTCTAACTGTTCTATTCCCCCTCCCCTTAAAAAAAAACCGATGCTACCGAGGCCCCGTGTTTCTTAATGCTGTTCATCGAAATGCTAGGTTGTCCCTGCTCAATGGTTTTTAGAGTGCCGGAATTCCTAGGACAAAATTTTATTAGCCCAACTATATTTCTAAGAAGGCAAGATGTATGCCGTCTCCAAGTATGAGTAAAAATGTTATGTAGTTCATTAAAAATCCCCAAAAGGGATAATTGATATTCCCCCACCCAGGGTGTAAAAATAGCAGTTTAAATTACTTTCCATTACATTTTTCTTAAAGGCATTAAAATATTTTTTGCGTTGTGCCCTCAATCTGAAATAGTTTTTAGAGGCCTGGAATTCCTTGACTAATTTTATTTTATTAGCCCAACTATATTTCTAACAAACGGACAAGATGTAGTGGGGAAAACTTTAATTTTCATCATTGTTAATCATCTGTATGCAAATGTGAGCATGGGATTAGTAGAACAAAAGGGATAATGACAATATCTTTCAGAGCGATTTAAAAAAACTAGCCTTTTTAACACATATAGTATTTTATGTAGTAACCCATAAATGCATTAAATGCAACTCATTGAGCTGATTGGTCTATGTGTCACCTCACTGAAAATGTCACAAAAAATATTTTCAGCACGGGATGATTCTCGCAATGCTTTTCCTGTGCAATGGAATCCAGGAAAACTTTATTTTTCAATCCTTTATAAATATGCATGAGAATATCATGTTCTTTTCCTGACCAGTACTTTGTTAATACCGAATAAAATTTCGTCGAATTTGCAAGAATGCTTCATTTTTGGTAGCTTATCATACTCCAGAAATTTTTGTTCGGTTTCAGCTGTGCAAAAATACTGTTTAACACGGCATACATATCTCAAATTCAACCAAGATTACTTTCTTTACTTTTTTTTCTTCATA